TTTGGCGAGCCATGTAGTCCGAACAGGAGGAGGAGAAGGAGCAGGGGAAGGAGGAGTGAGAGGAGGAGGAGGACGACGACGAGGAGGAGGCGGAGGAGGAGGAGGAGGAGGAGGAGGAGGAGGGAAGGAGGAGGAGGAGGAGGAGGAGGAACACGATGAAGATGATGATGGCGATGGCGATGGTGATGGTGAATGATGATGATGAGGAGGAGGGGGGGAGGGGGGGAGGGTAGGAGGAGGAGGAGGAGGAGGAGGACGATGGGGGGAGGGAGGAGGGGGGGGGGGGGAAGAGAGAGAGAGGGAGAGAGAGAGAGAGAGAGAAACAAAAAAAGGGGGACGTGGGGAGGAGGAGGGAAGAGGGATGATGCTGATGATGATGATGATGATGATGATGGCGAGGAGGAGGAAGAGGAGGAGGAAGAGGAGGAGGAGGAGGAGGAGGAGGAAGAAGGAGGAGGAGGGGGAGGAGGAGAAAGGAGAGGAGAGGACGAGGAGGAGGAGGAGGAGAAAGGGGAGGAGGAGGGGGCGGGGGAGGAGGAGCAGGAGGAGTGGAGGCGGATGTGGAGGAAGAGGAGAAAAGGAGGAGGAAGAGCAAGAGGGAGGCCTCCCCCGAGTGTTTCCTTTTTTATCCGATGTGGCCCAATGCTTGCGCGGCGTCGCAGTGCCGTTTGGCGAGCCATGTAGTCTGAACAGGAGGAGGAGAAGGAGCAGGAAGGAGGAGTGAGAGGAGGAGGAGGAGGAGGAGGACGAGGACGAGGAGGAGGCGGAGGAGGAGGAGGAGGAGGGCGAGGAGGAAGAGGGAAGGAGGAGGGACAGGAGGAGGAGGAGGAACACGATGAAGATGATGATTGTGATGGTGATGGCGATGATGATGATGATGTGAGGAGGGGGCGGAGGGAGGGGGGGGAGGGGGAGGAGGAGGAGGGGAGGAGGGGAGGTGGGGAGGAGGAGGAGGAAGAGGAGGAGGAGTGAGGAGGGAAAGTAGGAGGAGAAGGAGGGGGAGGCGGATGTGGAGGAAGAGGAGAAGGATTAGGAGGAGGGAAAGGAGGAGGATGGGAGGAAGGGGGCGGAGGAGGAGGAAGGGGGGAAAGGAGGGGGCGATTGGGGGAGGAGGAAGAGTAGGAGGAGAGGAGGAAAAGCAGGGGGAAAGAGGAGGACGAGGAATAGGTGTCGTTTTCGGCCGACTTCGAACCACGACCGCGAAACTCGATGAATAACCGAGGTGCGTTCAGCCTCCAACCTCCTCGTCCGTTGTTTGGCCGTTGCCCCGGACGAAGCTAGAACCTAAGCGCGCGCGTAGCGCGCGCATGGCTCTAGTGTGTGTGTATATATATATATATATATATATATGCGTGCGTGTGTGTGTGTGTTTGTGTGTGTCCGCCGATCCGGCGTGTGAACTACAAAGAGCCTCAGCGAGAGCTTCAGCTCTGAGCCTAAGCAAGAGCTTCAATTCTGCTTGAGAGGGTCGCCGGGGCGGCTTTGCCAGGGAAGGGGGGGAGAGGGGGGGGGGGGGGGGCATCTAGCGTCTTCTGCATGATTTGCGCATCTGGACCCCCCCCGGGGGAAGGGGGGGAGGGGGGGGGGCGGTCCCCCATCTGGCGTTCTCTGAATCATTTGCGCGTCCCCAAAATGTGTCGGGGGGCCCCAGGGACCACCCTCAGATCTAGCCACTACCACCCCCAGGACCCGTCGGAACCCTCCCCAAGCCCCTCCTGGGACCGCTCCAGGCACCCCTCCAGAGAAGAAGAAAGAGGAGCGGAATAATCGAGGAGAGAGGAGGCCACAGAGCCGCGAAGCTCACCGAATTCGGAGCCCCCCCCGGATCGTCGGCACTGGCCGGAGGCCATTACTATCTATATATATGTATATATATATATATATATATATATATATATATATATAGACAAACGTACATACATACATACATACATACATACAAACAAACATACGTACATACGTACATGCATACATATATACATGCATATATATATACACATATATTCATCCGTGAGCAGCAGAGGGCCAGACACACGACGGTACACCTGCCGTGGGTCACAGCGCGGTGGCGGACTGCAACGCCGGCTACAACGACTTGGACCCGCTGCAGTGGGTCCGCGGCTGGTCCGGCGAGAAGAAGCTGTATTGCTGCAAGACGGCGAACAGGGGTTGCCCTTCGGAGTTGCCCCCGCCCTCGGGCCTGCCGCCGTCCAACGCGCCCCCCGAGCCGGACAAGAGCGACTACGACTGCGACGCGGGCTACCACCACTGCATGCACTGCCTGGTGCTGTCGTGGTCTCCGGCCAAGATCGACTACTGCTGCAAGACCCAGCACAAGGGTTGCAGGGGCGAGGAGCCGGAGTGAGGAGCCCTTCCCCGCCCTCCTCCGCCCATGTTGGCACGGCGCGATCTGGTCGTCGTTGCAGTTTTTTTGTCGCGAGCAGTCTCTCGCTCGCGCATGTTTGTCGTTCTGGAGGTCCCGGAGGCGCGGGTGGCTCCAGACGGCTACCAGGAGGATGAGGAGGCTCTGGGGACGCCAGAGGTTGCAGAGGCACTGAAAGACGAGGGGGAGGAGGAGGAAGAGAGGGAGGAAGGACGGAAGCGGAGGAGAGTTGGGAGGGGGGGGGGCAGGAGGAATGAGAGAGGAGGAGAGGAGGAAAGGAGGAGGAGGAGGAGGAGGAGGAGGAGGAGGAGGAGGAGGAGGGGGAGGAGGGATGCGGAGTAGACAGCGGGAGGAGGCGGAGCAACAGGGCGAGGGAGAAGGGAGGAAACTGTGATATGGATATCGCTGATATCGTTTGTCGAATGATCGCGCGGCGAATCAATCTGCGTAGCTCTAAGGCCAAGGGCCCTAGTTCGAAACAAAACGGCAGCAACAAGGCGGGCATGAGGGATAGAGCGGGAGAGCAGGGAAGGAGCAGAAGGGCACGGGGAGTGAGCGGGAATCACACTCCTCCTGATCGACGCTCGCGGCGTCGTCGAGCGACGATCACCGATCGCAGCTCACTTCATTAATCAGAGCGCTCCAAAACAAACACAGGCAAACGGCCTTGTCGGCATGCTATCCGGCTGCCTCTGGGCATTTAACGGTTGCTGCTACACGCACCGGCAAGAAACAAATAAATTCTCAAAGCAAACAGCAGCGCGAGTCCGATCGCTATGCGAAAAAACTCAAATAGCGCTATCTTATCAAGATGAAGTCTTAATAGTGTGGTCGTCACCACATAGAAAAAAAACTGTGCACACTGAATGAAGCTTCGAACAATGCGGACTAGCGTAGTCTGCCACAAGATGTGGCACCAGGTGTAAAAAGAGCGAGCTGGTAAGACAATTCGGACTAACGTAATCTGCCACACGATGTGGCGCCAAGTGTAGGAAAACCGAGCTGACAAACCGATGCGGACTAACGTAATCTGCCACACAGTGTGGCGCCAGGTGTAGAGCGGCGGCGTGCATCACGACATCTTCTTTTGAGTTTTCGCCTTGCCGGGCAACCCCTGTAGCTGCCTCCATCTATTCTGCAAATCCCAGCGCAGACTATTATGCATCCTCGAAAAGTCTGGCTCATGGGTCATGTGGTTCCTGCGAAGCCATGGCGCATGTTTCCGGCACGTCCTGCAGATTATGTAAACACTATGCGTGTTGTGTCCCACGCGTATGTTGTGTTCGGCGATTACACATGCGTTCATCTCCGACGGCGAAACCGTTGGCGTCGATCCGTTCCACGAAACCACACTAGCTGACGAAGAACTGTGAACCGTCATCGGCGATGATGGCGCAGAACTCGTTCCCTGCGCGAAGCTGTCCGGTGATGGTGGCGGTGCGGCTGGCGCTGCCGATCCGCTTGCTGATGATGAACTCTGGGCTGCGACGGCAATCATCGGCGGCTCCATGTAGACATCTCCATCGGCGTCTTCGGGAATGGTAGGCGGTACGTTGTTGCGGCGTCCAAGGTATCGTCCATCCCATCCTGGATATACTCCGGGCAAGGGAGTGTCTGCGTCCCCGGTGTGGTCAGCCTTGGACCCATTGCTGGTGTTGTTGATGGTCCCGATCTGAATGGGAACTGGGGTCGCCTGACCCAAATATCTCTCTTCGCACCACAAACCACAGCGCTGCGAACAATGTAAATCCAATCATGATTCCACTGAGCATCGCGATGAATGTCATATAGTAGACCCAATATGATATCGGCACTTGCCATTCCTGCGAGGGATGCTGTGCCTTCACGCGTCCGAGACAGGTCATCAGCACTGAGGCAAGCATAGCGGCGTGTGGTTGCCTAGTGCCAAAGTTGTGCTTCTTGGCCCCGAAGAAAGCGAGGAGCACTCCGGTCTCCATGATCTTGGTGAGCGCGTCGGCGACCATACTCCACGTAGGTATCCACGAGAGCTTCAGCTGGCTGTTGGGGTGCACCGTCTCCTTGATCATCGATGCCACGATGCGGAACCGCTTGTCCGTGGATTGACCCACGTCAGACTTGATGTGCGTCACCAGGCCATTGCTGTCGCTGTAGATCTCCCCGGATCGTTTGGTGCTGAGGTCGTCGATCTGCTTGAGCGTCTTCTTCGGGTTGTAGACCTCCGTGAGTAGCTGGCCGAACCACGTGCTCGACTCGGCGCCCTCCAGAGTAGCGTAGCCCTCGGCGGCCAGCGTCGACTTCACGGATCGCTTGACCGTGCCCGAATGCCAGGCCACGGGCAGGCACAAATCATATCGTCCGGCCACGACGTCCCGTGGCTTGTGAGTTAGCCCAATCGCCATGCCCCACTGGCTCTTCACCCCGTCCACATTGGCGAAGGCCGCGTCGCTGAAACAGATAATGGTGCAAGTGCGCAGGTCGATGATGTTGCGCTTGATGACGATGGCGAAATCGGCGGACCCGTGCACGTAAGCGACGGTCTTGTTCAGCGTCTTGGCGTCGGCCACGGTGGCGGTGTTGGTGCGGCGAGCTGCAAGGCTCACCGGGCAGGCGATGTCCACTCGCGTCTGTACTGCGAGCCAAAGCAGTTGACCGAGTGTGTGGCGATATCCCGAGACCTCCGAGGTAGTAAGCCGATCCTCTAGTGATCGTCCGCGTTGAGCGTTGAGTTCAATGAAATCCACCTGGGCGGCGGCCGTCGCCTGGGTAATGCGGAACTCCTCGTTGATCTTGTTGATGGTCCGGCCGCAATACTTGATGATTCCCTCTACCTTCTTGAGGTGCAGCTTCTTCTGCAAGGAGCTGATGACTCGCTTCCACTCGCTGGAGCTTCCGCGCTGGGCGATGAGAAAGTCGTCCACATGGGAGTGGATCATGGCAGCGAGCCCTTTGTCGTCGTAGAAGTAGTAAAGGCCCTTCTCGAGCTTGCTCTCGATGAGGCCGTGCTCCTGGAACACCTTCTGGGCGTAGAGGTACCATTGACGTCCTGCATCTCGGGTACCATAGATGGCGCCAGTCGCCATCACGATCTCACCGGGCAGTGTGCCTGGCGGCGGGTTCTTGGCTGGCATGCGTAGCAGTAGCAGCCTCTCGATGTTGCCCGACTGCAGGTAAGCCGTCATCGCGTCGTACGACGTGAGGTCCCAGCCAAGCTGGGCGGCGGCAGCAAGCGCGAGGTAAAGCGCGTCCCTTGACCCGGTCGGCGCATCCGTACGGATCTGGGACTTGTCCTCTTGACAGCCCTGGACGACAAGGCGGGCCTTCATGAGGTTGGCGGCCTTCTGCGTGAGCACCCAGCGGGTACCAACTGGTCGTATTCCAGGGTGTCGCTGGAAGATCTCCTTCAGCTCCTTGGGCGGCAGCTTCTTGTAGGCCCCGAACTCGGTCCACTTGGACCACTCGACCTTCATGGCCGTGTCCATGAGCTTCTTGTCCTTGGCGGAGAGCTTGTCGTACTTGATCTCCTTAGCAGCGGCCTTTCCGGTGAGCATAACCTCCCGGAGTCGGATGGTCGAGTGCAAATCGTCGTCGTTGACCTCAAAGTAGTTGTCCAAGTAGAGGTCGGTCGTGAGCGTGTCTTTCGGCCTCTTGAAGCACTTGGGTAGGTCGTCCTTGAGACTCTCCAAGAATTCCTTGCGCTTGATGGCTTTGCTGCGATCACCTGTCTGGTCGTGCCTGTCACGTTGACGTGCGCGAGGTGCGTCCTCTTGTTGAGCTTGGCGCTGGGCCTTGTTGCCGCGTTGTCCTTCAGGATGTTGTGGTCTGCGGGCAAAGGCTTCTCTGCGAACTTCCTCCTCCGCGGCCTTGCTCCAGTCGCGTGGCCCTTCGGATCCGGAGCTGTCGGCATCCGATGAATGTCCATCAGCTTCTTTCTTTCTGCTTTTTTTTTTTTTTTTTTCTTTTTTTTTGACTTTTTTTTTTTTTTTTTTTTTTTTTTTTCTTTTCGTTGTTTTCTCTTTGTTTATTTGTTCGGTTTTTTTATTTTTTTTTTTTTTTTTTTTTTTTTATTTTTTTTTTTTTTTTGTTTTTTTTTTTTTTCTCTTCTTTTTTCTCTTTTTTTTTTTTTCTTTTTTTTTGTTTTTTTGTTTTGTTTCTTTTTTTTCTTTGTTTTTTTTTTTTTTTTTTTTTTTTTTTTTTATTTTTTTTTGTTTTTTTTATTTTTTTTCTGTTTTTTTTTTTTGTTCTTATTCTTTTTTTTTTTTTTTTTTTTTTTTGTTTTTTTTTTTTTTTTATTTTTTTTGTTTTTTTCTTTTTGTTTATTATCTTCTGTGCGTCGAGCTCCTGGCGGTGGAAGTCGTACCCCATCGCGTTCCTCAGGCTGTTCGTCGTGTACTTCTGGTTGCACGGCGGGTTCTGGAGCTGGATCTTCAGCGCGATCTGGGTCTTCTTGGGCTTGTATTTGAGCATGAGCGGGGTCATGAGCGGGGTCAGCGGCAGCAGCTGAGTCAGAAACAGGCGCTGGCAGCCCGGGAAGGTATCCCCCCGAAGGTGCTGGTGCTGAACCGCTGCCTGAGGCGCCCCCACTTGTCGTATATTCTTCATCTCCTTGCCGTCGGCGAATCCACTCAAGGGTAGCATGGGCGCGGCGATTGTGTGGGGCATCTTCGATGTTGCCGAAGCTGTGCTGCTTGATAGCCGTCGGCGGAGGTGGTAGTGCTGGCGGAACGTTTTCCACTCGCGGGCGTTTCTTCGGCGTTTCGCCCGTGAGGTCGATGAATGTATCTCCATCTTCTCCTTGGTCTGATGGTGGTAATCCGCCTCCACCGCCGTCTCCTCCTTCATGTGGTGATCCTTCGTCCCCTCCTCCTGGTCCTGGTGGCCGTGGTCCGTCAGGAGGTGGGGGCTGGTCAGCTGGCGGTTGTCCTGGCGGTGGTGGTGGCTGTTTGCCGTTCATGGCGTTGAGCACCTGTCCCCAGGGCACGAGCTCTGAGGCAGTAGCGTGGCGTAAATGTCCTCGGTTGACCTTGACGGTGGTGGAACGGTGGCTGACCCATGCGTTCAATGTGCCCTCGAAGCCGATGATGATACCGGGTCCATGCCACTGCAAAGCCCATTCGCGCTTGGGCTTGCCGTTCCCC